CCGAAAAAAGGAAGATACAGGACAGATGATTCCAGAACAATCTCCAAATATTTTTATTGGCTCGTGGAATGCAGCAAATAATAGTCGGAGATTTGACAGTTGCAAAAGTATCGCGGAGGTAAGTGGACCGATAACGATGATGCACGAATAGACGGTAAAATAATGCCTATCTCATCGTTTTTAATCAGTATGGAGGGCGTCACAACGGTAACAGGTAAAAGCGCTGAGCTGTCTATGCCAGATGGGATGAGAGAGGATGTGATGTACTCATGTAGCAAGCATGCGTACCAGATTAACGATGACGAGGTATACTTTATCCATCTTGCTCCGTGCAGCTGACCACATCACGGGACTGTGTGGGTGCCAGAGTTTCAAAGCTCAGCTGGTAAGGAGACTAGGATACTCATTTAAAGAGTTAGGCTAAGATGTCCAATCACACAAGACACTAGTAATCGGTGTGAGGTTACCAGAGTTGGCTACGTCTCAAAAAGACAACATGGTCGTGCTTGCTGAATACAGTAGTTCCCAAACTGGGGTCGGATGGACTTTGGTTCTTAAGCTATCCAAGGTTCTTTTTACCGGTGATGAGAAATCCCTGAGTCAGTGAAATGATCTTTTGACAAGAGATGACCTCATCATCCGGTACCTCAGTCCTGACGTCCAACCTGGCCAACTTTCAAGGGTTTCCTCCAATGTGTATCTTTGACACTGGACAATTGACAACATTAATCTTCGAAACAATACAATGGAGTCAAATTAGCGCTAAAACCACTTGAGGTTCACGTCAACAAAAGCTTAGCTAGAAATAGTACACCCGACATCCCAGATCGGGGCATGATCAGTACATTTAAACTAATTTAGTGTGAATCAGGTATACAGTTGATTTCGGTTACGGCATAGGATGACAAACAATTGACAGATTCAATAGGTGATTCCCCAGTTCAATCATGCAACTTTAGGGGTGCGACATTAGCAGACAGAATTTATGTCCAATTACTCATATGTACTACCTACAACGAGTTTGCCGAAATGATGGCTACAGTCCACAGGACCCAAGGGCAAGACAATGGCCCAGTTCAAAAGTAGTTCGCGCATTTGTTCTACAGGCCACAGTTCCTGAAACGTAAGTTGTCGGTTTACCCAGCCACTCAGCGTTGCCTAGGAGTTAAACTGCTGCTTTGTTTGACCTCCAGCTTCGAGTTTCTTCGCTGTCAGAAGTTGTAGGTGACAGAATTTATGCCAATTACTCATATGTACTACCTACAACGAGTTTGCCGAAATGATGGCTACAGTCCACAGGACCCAAGGGCAAGACAATGGCCCAGTTCAAAAGTAGTTCGCGCATTTGTTCTACAGGCCACAGTTCCTGAAACGTAAGTTGTCGGTTTACCCAGCCACTCAGCGTTGCCTAGGAGTTAAGCTGCTGCTTTGTTTGACCTCCAGCTTCGAGCCACTCAGCGCTAGGAGTTAAGCTGCTGCTTTGTTTGACCTCCAGCTTCGAGTTTCTTCGCTGTCAGCAGTTGTAGGTGAATAGAATCGCTCGCACAGATACGACGGCTTTTAGTAGATGTCAACTGTGTGTCATGTTCGTTAAACGTCAATTTTAGTAATCATATTAAGTTTACTTTTTCTCCTTGTTCAGAGGCCAGCCATCCCTACTAACCGAACATCACATCATTTGGACGGATGTGTCACGTGCAGGACATGCACCAAACGAAGTCATGCCCTGATTGGCCAGAATCCCAGCCAATCCGGGTCTGGCATCCTTGACTGGACGCTTCTCGCCCCCTCACGGTGCTTCTAGCACGACCTTGTGGAACACTCAGTGATTACCCTATAAATACAGATGTAATGATTCTCTTTTTGTCTCTATAAAGGGCTGTGTAGAGCTACCGTGCCTTTTGATACATAATGTGACGAATTTACGTCGACTGGGTGATTTAATCCTGAATGTGGCGGTCATGGCCTCTGCCTGCGTCCTTTTTTCGGGTCGGTGTTTGCGCGAGCTCCTGAAGTTGTCTCTGTAGCATTCTTCTTTGTGACCCTTTCGACTGCACTTACTGCACCTGTGGTTCCGGTAGGGATATTGGCGTGAATAGTGCCATTCTTCACAAAGCCAACAGGGTGTGTGCTGTTTTCTTGGAGTTCGTTTTGAATGTGACTTCCTTTTGGAAGTTACTTTGCATACCATATCAGGCTGAGAGAATTTGGAATGTCCAATCATTGCAGCATCGGCCTTGAGATTGATAAGATGCTGGCATTCGGTGGTAAGTTTCTGAAGCGTCAACTCTGGATCCTGTTCAATTCGATTCAGTAGCCGGGTTCGAATATCTGCATCGTGTGGCGATTGAAGACCAGACACGAAGATTAGACACTTGAATTGATCCTCAGTCATGGAGCTGAGCTGAAAGCGCTCGCATTCTCTGTTGACCACACCGGCATATGTGATGAAATCCTCAGTATCCCTTCTGGTAATCTTGAGACACTGATAACGAATATTGAACAAGGAAC